CCAATTGGGTAAATATTTTCCCTCCCTCCATTGAATTTGCTTCTTCTTTTGCTGTGATTTCTTCATGGTTGATGAATAATATTGTGTTGATATCTCAAAGTTTGTGTGAGTATACCCTGCTCAAAAAAATAAAGGGAACACAAAAAGAACACATTCTAGATCTGAATGAATTAAATATTCTTCTGAAATACTTTGTTCTTTACATAGTTGAATGTGCTGACAACAAAATCACACAAAAATAAAAAAAATGGAAATCAAATTTATCAACCCATGGAGGTCTGCATTTGGAGTCACACTCAAAATTAGTGGATAAACACACTACAGGCTGATCCAACTTTGATGTAATGTCCATAAAACAAGTCAAAATGAGGCTCAGTAGTGTGTGTGGCCTCCACATGCCTGTATGACCTCCCTACAACGCCTGTACATGCTCCTGATGAGGTGGCGGATGGTCTCCTGAGGGATATCCTCTCAGACGTGGACTAAAGCATCTGCCAACTCCTGGACAGTCTGTGGTGCAACGTGACGTTGGTGGATGGAGCAAGACATGATGTCCCAGATGTGCTTATTTGGATTCGGGTCTGGGGAACGGGCGGGCCAGTCCATAGCATCAATGCCTTCGTCTTGCAGGAACTGCTGACACACTCCAACCACATGAGGTCTAGCATTTTCTTGCATTAGGAGGAACCCAGGGCCAACTGCACCAGCATATGGTCTCACAAGGGGTCTGAGGATCTCATCACGGTACCTAATGGCAGTCAGGCTACCTCTGGTAAGCACATGGAGGGCTGTGCGGCCTCCCAAAAAATGCCACCCCACACCATTACTGACCCACTGCCAAACCGGTCATGCTGGAGGATGTTGCAGGCACCAGAACGTTCTCCACAGCATCTCCAGACTCTGTCATGTCTGTCACATATGCTCAGTGTGAACCTGCTTTCATCTGTGAAGAGCCCCGGAGCGCCAGTGGTGAATTTGCCAATCTTGGTATTCTCTGGCAAATGCCAAATGTCCTGCACAGTGTTGGGCTGTAAGCACAACCCCCACCTGTGGACGTCGGGCCCTCATACCACCCTCATGGAGTCTGTTTCTGACCGTTTGAGCAGACACATGCACATTTGTGGCCTGCAGGAGGTCATTTTGCAGGGCTCTGGCAGTGCTCCTCCTGTTCCTCCTTGAACAAAGGCAGAGGTAGCGGTCCTGCTGCTGGGTTGTTGCCCTCCTCCACATCTCCTGATGTACTGGCCCGTCTCCTGGTAACGCCTCCATGCTCTGGACACTACGCTGACAGACACAGCAAACCTTCTGACAGGCACAGCTCGCATTGATGTGCCATTCTGGATGAGCTGCACTATCTGAGACACTTGTGTGGGTTGTAGACTCCGTCTCATGTTACCACTAGAGTGAAAGCACCGCCAGCATTCAAAAGTGACCAAAACATCAGCCAGGAAGCATAGGAACTGAGAAGTGGTCTGTGGTCACCACCTGCAGTACCACTCCTTTATTGGGGGTGTCTTGCTAATTGCCTATAATTTCCACCTGTTGTCTATCCCATTTGCACAACTGCATGTGAAATTGATTGTCACTCAGTGTTGCTTCCTAAGTGGACAGTTTGATTTCACATAAGTGTGATTGACTTGGAGTTACATTGTGTTGTTTAAGTGTTCCCTTAATTTTTTTGAGCAGTGTATTTTACACATGACAATTATTCACTCTTGATGTTGGCCATTTTGATTGTCATGCTCATTTTGATGCCATTGATTGCCGGTAATGTTATATACTGTTGGAATGTTTTAATTTTGAGATACGTTTATTGTGTTTCTCTTTTTGTTTCAGTTTAATCATGGACTTTGATGTACTCCCAGAAATTTGGAAGCTGTTTCTTCGTTCCTGCGATTTGATCAGTAGATTGTTCATTTACAGTTCATTGTTATAGATTCTTGTTTTTTTTCTGTACTGTTACAACTGCTTTCCCACCAAAGAAACGTTGCTTTTAGAATATGCTCTTATATTACCTCTTACTTGATTGGTCTAGGTTTTCTTTCTGATTTGAGCTGTAATTGGAATTAGTAAAGAGAGAGTTTATTGCAAAATATTCTCCTACAGCCTGCTGTCATTAATAAAATTCACTGTAATGTGACTGACAGTCCCTGTTCAAAAACAGTCCACAAAGGTCAGTAACACACACCTAACCATTAAATTGCTAGCAACGTCAGGGATTCCAGAATGACAAAAATCAATGTCAGGAACAAGGCTTGGTCGAAAAACAAAAAGAACCCAGAAAAGAACAAGCTTATGGGACTAGAACCATGAGAGGGTGCCAATCCCAAGAAGATAAGGGCTTAATTGGGACCAAGGCCTAATAACATAACCCTGGTGAACTTGCAATCAAATTTTGATGCCACAACAAGGATGCAAAAAAACTATAAAAAACAATATCACAACCTGCATCATTTTAGGACTCACAAGCTTCAGAATTAAAATCTTGGATTGAGATCTGCAGAATTTAGAGGCCAAGGCAACACCTTGAACTCTTTATGTTCCTCAAACCATTCCTGATCATTTTTTGCAGTGTGCATGATCCTACTTAAAGAGGCCACTGCCATCAGGGAACTCCATTACCATGAAGGAGTGTAAGTGGTCTGCAATTATCTATTTGATAGAGTCCTAACCTCAACATCGGAGGAAAGGGATTTAGGGGTGATTATTTCTGATGACTTAAAGGTAGGCAGACAATGTAATAGAGCAGCAGGAAATGCTAGCAGAATGCTTGGTTGTTTAGGGAGAGGTATTAGCAGTAGAAAGAGGGAAGTGCTCATGCCATTGTACAGAACACTGGTGAGACCTCACTTGGAGTATTGTACACAGTACTGGAGACCGTATCTTCAGAAGGATATTGATACCTTAGAGAGGGTTCAGAGAAGGGCTACTAAACTGGTTCATGGATTGCAGGCTAAAACTTACCAGGAAAGGTTAAAGGATCTTAACATGTATAGCTTGGAGGAAAGACAAGACAGGGGGGATATGATAGAAACATTTAAACACATAAAGGGAATCAACACAGTAAAGGAGGAGACCATATTTAAAAGAAGAAAAACTACCACAACAAGAGGACATAGTCTTAAATTAGAGGGGTAAAGGTTTAAAAATATCAGGAAATATTACTTTACTGAGAGGGTAGTGGATGCATCTTCCAGCTGAAGTGGTAGAGGTTAACACAGTAAAGGAGTTTAAGCATGCATGGGATAGGCATAAGGCTATCCTAACTATAAGATAAGGCTAGGGACTAATGAAAGTATTTAGAAAATTGGGCAGACTAGATGGGCTGAATGGTTCTTATCTGCCATCACATTCTATGTTTCTATCTCTAGAATGGTGGTATGTGGCCACATCCACATGAATGCCTAGCTTTCCCAACAGAACATTACGCAGAGCATAACATTGCCTCAGCTGGCCTGCCTTCTTTCCATAGTGCTTACTGGTGCCATCTCTTCCCCAGGTAAAGAGCGCACACGCACCCAGCCATGCACCTGACCTAAAAGAAAATGTTATTCATCAGCCTTCTTCTATTGCTCTATGGCCCAGTTCTGACACTTACATACCCACTGAAGGCGCTTTTGGCTATTTCTTGAAATGGCCAATAGGAGCATACATCTTCTTGTACTTCGGTTATTAAATGTCTAGACTTCATATTACGCTTGCATATGAAGATTCATAAAATATCCTACAGACTTGTGGGATCTTCCATACACTCTAGTATTGTACTCTCACACATAGACACAGTAGACATGGTGCCCAGCTGGTGAGATAGAAAAAAGCCACAGAAATATTGCAGTGCAGAGGAGGGGAGATTATAAGAGTCATTGCCCTTGGCTGTCCCAATTTTGGTGGGAATTTCCCAAGTTCAGGCTCCTGCCCCACTTCTCCAATTTTGCTTTCTGGTGCCACCACATGGGGACACCAGGTAACTCCCCCCAGCCATCTCATTGTGAGAGCACCTTTAGAAATGCTATGCATTGAGTAATTCGGTGGTGCTCTTTTCATGGTCTGCCCTGAGTGATGCCAGTCAGAAAGCCTGTCAATCATCCTAGGGGACATTCACACTATGCTGACACATCCCGTCACTGGCATTTACGCCATGCTGACACCCTGTCACTGGCATTTACGCCATGCTGACACACCCTGTCACTGGCATTTACTCCATGCTGACACATCCCGTCACTGGCATTTACGCCACGCTGACACCCCGTCACTGGCATTTACGCCACGCTGACACCCCGTCACTGGCATTTACGCCACGCTGACACACCCCGTCACTGGCATTTACGCCACGCTGACACACCCCGTCACTAGCATTTACGCCACGCTGACGCCCCGTCACTGGCACGTCCCTTTAGATTGGGGGTAGGCAACCTTCGTCACTCCAGATGTTGTGGACCACATCTCCCTTGATGCTTTGCCGTGTTATGGGAAATGTAGTCGCCAACATCTGGAGTGCGGAAGGTTGCCTACTGACCCCGTGTCCCAACGCTGGGAGGTAATTCGTGCCCGGGCCGCGTCCTGCGTGGCGGTAGCCAATCTCTCTCCTTCCTATGAATGCGCCAGGGCAGCACTTTCCATGTGACTGGTCTCATCTTTGGGTGAATGCCTGGGTTTGGGGGTGATTTCACCCTCCATGTGTTCAGCCATGGCCCCCAGGGGGGGCAGTTAGTGTTTCCTGGGGGGGTAAAAAACACGCTCGTACCCCAGGCATTGCTGTCACGTGCACGCGCACACTGAACACCCCCCCCCCCCATTAAATATGTTGCCTGGCGCGCACATCACTGCGCATGCGCCAACCTTCTCCCCCAGCGCGGCGACTGGCGCCACTCTCGCACTCTGTCGGCGGACCGAACTCGCTCAGCCAATCCGCAAGCCGGATCTTTTCCACGACGCCCCGCCCACCTCAGGTAAACCCGCCACGCCCCTCCCTCCACCCCCACCTCCCCACTCTGCCGACGCGCGCTCCTTCCCTCACGGCCACCGCCAACACGCTCTCTGTCCCCGCGCTTAAAGGGACCGCAGCAGGCGCGCGCGTGCTCGTGTGTGTGAGAGAGAGAGAGAGCGCGAGAGTGCGCGAGACAGCTCGAGAAAGAGAGAGAGTGGGGGGGGAGAAAGAGACTGCAAGTGACTGCGGCTGCGCGCGCGCAAAAAAAAAAAAAAAGAGAGAGCGACCCTGCAGGAGGAAGAGAGAGAGAGCGCGGGAGAGGAGGGGAGCTAGCAGCAGCCAGCCAGCCCGGTGAGCATACAGGGCGGGGGGAGACACCGGGGTGGGGGCTGGAGCATGGCCGACCGAACCGTGAGACCGGGGGAGGGGGGCAGGGAACCCGGGGGTGGGGGAGGTGAGAGGCCAGCCTGGGGGGGGCAGGGGGTATTACTGGGGGGCAGGGGGGGGGGGTACACACCCAGGGGCAGGGGGGTGTACAGGAGCCCCCCAGATTTTAATATTAGGGTAGGGTGGGGGTGGGTAAATAATGAAAGGGGAGAGAGTAGGAAGTGGGGTAACAAGGCCCCCCCTCACCCCCTATTAGAGGGGCACCCCCTGATCAGGGGCAGGAAATGGGCACCTTGTGAGAGAGACCCCCACTATCCAGTGAGGGGAAGGGGGCATCCGGTAAAACATGTGTTGGTGGAGGGGAAATAACTGGAAAGTGGGAGTGGTAGGAGAGAGCCAGGAGAAATAGAGGAGGGGGTTTGGTTATAGATAGGGGAGAGGATGTGTGTTTTGGGGGCTGGGGGGGGTGCAGCAGTGTGGGATAGTAAGGAGGGCACCTTGGGAGCAGAGGGGGGTGTAATGTATCCAGGTATTATGGCACCAACTCTTTAACATTATTGGGACTTTTTAAATGGACGAGGATAGTGCCAAGGTGTCTTGTAAAAGGCAGTTACAGATGTACAGTTACCTGTGTGCCTGGCAATCTTTATATAGGAATCCGCTTACGTTGATAAATGTGAACAATGCATTGTTTTGATAAGGCATATATTTTTTTTTTACTTTCACAATACTCAAAGTTTATGGTTGTCTTTTGAAAAGTATATTAGAGCTTGTTATATATTATTATTTTATGAATTCTGCATAAACCTTGTGGAAACTTATTGCGTAGCCAAGCAACGCATTTAGAGGTTTTTTTTGTTTTGTTTTTTAATGCCTGCCTTCGGGTCCATGTGATAATTATTGACAGCAGTGTGGGATAGTAATTGGAGGGCACCTTGGGAGCAGAGGGGGGTGTAATGTATCCAGGTATTATGGCACCAACTCTTTAACATTATTGGGACTTTTTAAATGGACGAGGATAGTGCCAAGGTGTCTTGTAAAAGGCAGTTACAGATGTACAGTTACCTGTGTGCCTGGCAATCTTTATATAGGAATCCGCTTACGTTGATAAATGTGAACAATGCATTGTTTTGATAAGGCATATATTTTTTTTTTACTTTCACAATACTCAAAGTTTATGGTTGTCTTTTGAAAAGTATATTAGAGCTTGTTATATATTATTATTTTATGAATTCTGCATAAACCTTGTTACACCTTTTGGAAACTTATTGCGTAGCCAAGCAACGCATTTAGAGGTTTTTTTTGTTTTGTTTTTTAATGCCTGCCTTCGGGTCCATGTGATAATTATTGACATTGTGATGTAATTGTATTATAAAATGTATGTGCAACTAGTTCTGCAATTAGAATGTTCTTTGAATTAATTCAGTCTTTACATTGATATGTTATGATTGTATACGCCATCTCTTCTGATAGGTGAGCATACCCTCTCTCCTCCATGGAAGCCAACTCCTTCTCAGATCATTGTGATACGGAGCCAAGTAATAACGAGCCTTTGAGTGGAGATCTCCCAACAGACACTAAGGTTGGGGCAACAGAGACTGCCACCGTGAGCAGACGCTCTTTAGGGGCCAGAAGAATGGAGTGGGAGGAAAATTCAGTTGATGGTCAAAGTGGAGACACAGTTGCAGACAATCAGGAGCCTGAAAAAGAGCCTCAGGATGATGTGAAAGAGGACAGTAATGCAAAAAACATCAAAAGGGACTCAAAAGCACTGGCACAAGAAAAGGATTCACATGATGTAGACTCCCCAATTAAAAACTCTCCTGAAGCTTCACACCCTAGTCCAAAAAGTGATGAGGAAGAAGACAAAGACCTCAAAGCAGAGCCATCTGGTGACATAAATAGTTCAGAGAGTCCAAAATCAACACATGCAGAGGAAAATGGTGAAACTAGTCAGAATACTCCTGAAAGTGGTGAAAATGCCAGCAGCCTTCCTGAAGAAAAGGCTGCAGGAGAACCACCCGAGACCCAGGCTGACCCACCACAGCCCAGCCAAACTGCCCCAAGGAGAATGAGGCTTCGACCTTCACTTAAACCTCGTACTTCTGCATCCATTGTCATTGACAGCGGTTTGATCTCAGATGCAGGAAAAGCACCACAGGTGAAAGAGGAATCCCCAAAGGATGATTCCTCTACCCAAGGCAAAGATGCTAGAAACGAACCTATGTCCACCACAGGTGTGTGAAATCCCATGACACCCCCACATAATTACTTAAGCTATTTCAAATAAGAAGTCTACACCTCAAGGCAATGCAGAGCAGCATCACACTAATTACATGCTTTTTAATATAATGTTAATTTGAGGAACCACAACTAACACTGTTTTTGTTATTACCTTCTGTATGTTAATAAGAGGCAGAGTGGCAATGGCAATTGGTTACTTGTGAAAACATATCAAAACATACTATTCATAATCAAAGCATATCTATTTCTATTATCGTACACTTGTTGCACGATGTACTCCTGATAGTAAAAGTTAGTAACTCCCAGAAAAAAAGGCTATCACTTAGGGCTACTAAGCTAGGGCTTGACAAATTTGCTTTCAATCAAGGAGCCAGCTAAAAAAAATTAGGAGCCAGTTTTGTTTCAACATCAAAAATACAATTCTTAAAGTGACCCTATAGTCACCAGAAACACTACAGCTTAATTTAGTGACTCTGGTGTCTATAATCTGTCCCTTAAGGTTATTCAATGTAAGCTCTGCTTTTTCAGAGAAAAGGCAGTGTTTACCTTGCTGCCTAGTAACACCTCTAGTGGCAGTCACTCAAACGGCCACTAAAGTGCCTCCTGTCTCAGTGCTGCACAATGTGCAGCACCTACATCCAGCATGGAGGCGGCGCTGAACGTTCCCCATAGAAATGCATTGCTTTAATGCTTCACTATGAGGAGATGTTTATTGGTAATTGATAAACTTCGTTATGGAGATGGGCCAGCTGCGGCGAGACTGGCACTGCGTTGGGAAAACAGGTGAGTAAAAACACTATTCCCATGCGATCGGAGGACAGGCGGACAGGCGCACGCACATCCTCTCACACACTCACAAGATATTTGATACACACACAAAGAATCATAGATGCACACAGACAAATACGTGCATGACAGATAAACACACAGAAAAAAAAATTGAATACATATTTTTAGCCACTCTCCTGTTTCCTACCTTTTGGGTGCAGCAGAGTGGCTTTCTTGGGGTCCAGTGGTACTGGGCACAGCAGCAGACATTGGATTTGTGGGGCTTGCTGTGACTAATGGCAGTGGGCAATTGCTGGTCAAGACTCCTCTCCTCCACATGTCTCGATATCACGTGAAGCTGACTGCGACGGGAGGAAGTGAAGGGATCTGCAATTACTTCCTCCCGGCGCCAAAGCTGCGCAGGAAAACGATTGTGCGGGCGGTCGGGTCTGTGAAATGGGGACAGGCGGTGAGCAGAGACGATTTTACCAGGTGTCCTGCTAGCTTGCTAGTTCTCTTGCGACCTTAGCGCCGGGAGAAAGTAATTATAGATCACTTCCTCCCGGTACACCGGCGCACAGACTGCTACGCAGGGATTGAAATAGGAGTGAATGGGCTGACCAATACCAGGCGCCAGGGCAAAATTATTAGTCAACCTGGCGCCTGGGATTTGTCGAGCCCTGTACTAAATCAAATGAAAAATTTCCTCAAAATTATGTGTTATGGTTATACTCTGAATTTTCGGTAGTGAGGCCATCAATACAGTTGGTGGTTTCTGCACATGCTTAAATGGACTCTCTAAAATCATAGCTATTACAGCTATTTGTAGTGTTTTTATAGAACTATACGTCTGTGTGCCATTCCCTATTTACTTTTTTAGTCACATTGGATTTGATTTAGTTCGAGTTGATTAAAGTCACTAGTCAGACTTGATTTAAATCATGATTTTTAAATGTAAAGACTTATTCTTACTGGATGCTAGCTTTATGTGCAACCAGGTGACGATTTCATGTTTAGAATATTAACTTTTGAGATTAGTTTTAACATTTATAGCAGAATTGATCTTGTTTAATATCATTTGACATACATAGATGATGAACTTATGGCAAAGTGTGCTATCTCTTGTTTAATAGGTTAATCACTCAGGTTTGTAGAACAACTTAAATAGTTTTATTTAACTAACACAATAACATATAGCATACATAGTCTTGCATTTGCCTAAACATCAATGTTTAACTGAAGTAGTTAAACAAAATATCTTTAAAAAAACATAAACTACAATGGTTTTGTCCTGTTACCTGGGTCCATGCCATGCACCAAGTCTTCTCCAATGCTAGCTGATCTCGAGATTCTGCACAGTCATTCATTGGCTGAGAGGGTAAGCTAAGTGCTCTCAGCCAATGCATGACCCACTGTGCAGAGAATGTTAATTGGCATTAGCCAGCCTGGACCTCTTGTTCCAGGCTGGCTAATAACGCACTAATGATGAAGCTAGAGGTGATGTTACAACGCTGACAGCAATAAAACATTATTTTTTTTTTAAAAGTAGTTTCACATGGAAAAGGTGTGGATACAGACTCTAAGCACCATGACCACATCTAATCACTGAAGTTGTAATGGTGCCTTATTGGAGTAACTCTTTTTAAGACAGGGTTGTCAAAAAGGGATATCCCCAGATGTTGTAGAACTAAACCTCCCCTGATTCTTTGCATGTCTTTAGAATGAAAAAGCGTCATGGAAAGTGTATTTTTAAACATTTGGGGATTTACTTTTTGGGCACCACTGCTTTAAAGGAAAGCTATAGTACCAGGAAAGCAAACTCGTTTTCCTGGCACTACAGATTTCCCCTCTGTCAAGGCCCCCTCCCGCAGCGTGTTAAGGTGTTAATAATGCCAACGAGGAAGACCTAATGCGCATGCGCAGCAATGGCCGCGCTCGCATTAAGATCTCCCCATAGGAAAGCATTATTCAATGATTTCCTGAGGGAAAGGCTGACGCTGGAGGTCCTCATGCAGAGCGTGAGGACATCCAGCGTCCGATAACGGACCAAACATCCGTTTCAATTCTGGAAATCCCTCTAGTGGGATTTCTGTCCATTGGAGTGGTCTGGGTGCCAACTCCCACTACCCTTAACCCTGCAACTGTAATTATTGCAGTTCTTTATAAACTGCAATAATTACCTTGCAGGGTTAGCTCCTCTTCTAGTGACTGTCTACTAGACAGCCACTAGAGGGCACTTCTGTGTCTATATCACAGAAAACGTGTGCTATAGCGTCGCCAGACGTCCTCACGTTGTGTGAGGACCTCCAGCTTTGCTCAATTCCCCATAGGAAAGCATTGAAAAGAATTTTCAATGCTTTCCTATGGAGAGCTCGCATGCGCGGCATTAGGTCTCCTCAGCCAGCGGGCGGGATCAGTCTCGCCCACCGGCTGTCGTAAGGAAGGGGAGGAGTGGCGGCGACCCAAAACCACCGCCGATTGTTTTCCTGGCACTGGAGAGTCCCTTTAAGTTCTTTTTCTGAATTTTGTTTATTTTATAAGATCGTTGCTGTGAAAACGTGCATTTTATCTCTGCAGAGATAAATTCAATTAACTTTAATGGAATTAATTTATCAAAATTATTGCAAGAACATTCAGCATCGTGTTACAGAACTAATCCCTATTTCATGTTGAATAACATTTGAACTATGTGTCTTAAAGGAGCACTGTAGCGTTAGGAATACAAACCTATTCGTAGCACAATAGTGTTCTAGTAACTAGTTGGATAACCGACCCCCCAAATGGGCAATTAACTTTTTTGCAGTCACACATCCTTCCCGCCACTCATCAATCCTGATTATCTAAACCTAAGGTTCCCAAAAAGTAGAACCCCAGATGTTTAAAACTGTAACTTCCATGATGCTTTATCATTCTAAAAGCATTTTAGAGGCATGCAAAGCATCATAGGATTTGTAGTTCTACATCCGGGGATCTACCTTTTGGGCACCCCTGAACTAGGCCAATCTAGTGCTTTTCCATAGGAAAACAGAGGTTGGCTAGTGCGCATAAGCGGCATATTGCCTGGCTGCACCTATCTGTATCTCCTTAGAGGGATGCATCTCCATGTGGAGACTCTGAACATCAGACCACCAGTCTCTCTATTAGGTGTCCAAGTAACTGCCATTAGAAGTGGACCTGGGAAGCAATGTAAAAACGAACAAACAAGAGTTACCTGCATTGTATCCCAAATCGCTATGTACATTTAAATAGCTGGAATTTTTTTTTTAGTATCATTCCAATGGCCATTCAAGTGTAAGCTCATCTGCCACGACAAAGCAAAACCTCTTAGGTGACGCCTACATAAATTATTTTTTGTCGGAACAAGTTATTTGGCCTACTACTGTAGTCCATTGGAGAAATGATTTAAAAAAAAAAAAAAATTAATTCCAGACCCCTGAATAGAAAATATTCTTTTTAGAAGATTTATTTTAAATTGTAGATCTGGACCCATAGCCTGCCTCTTTAGCTGCAGTGATAATGTAGAAACTACACTTTTGCTTTATCTAGTGTGATACCCTCCACTTGGACAGTAATGAGCTCAGAGCATAGGGTAACCGTTTAAAAAAAATGTTGTTAGAAATGACTACTGCACATTTGCTATGCTTGTTAGTTTTGTTTTATATTATGTGCAGAATCATATGTGCATTTCAGACATTTAAATAATACAATGATTACGCCACATGTTTCAAATGATTTGGATCTCAGAATTCCATGTTAGTATTATGTTGGAAATTTTTCATCTTTCAATGAGTTCTTTTGATCAGTTTTTCATTGTCCCTCGGAATTAACTAGATCAGCAGGTTCCATGTTTTCAAACTTTATAGTTCCATCTTTTGCAACAGTTATGGTTGAATGAGAGCCTCACATTGACTCATGCAGACTGTCGTACTGGTCCTTTAAACCAGAAGGGCACCATTGACTGGGGAATGATGATCTTCAGTCCACCAATTTGAGTAGCATTAAGGAAGTCTGGTAATGATTGGTACAGTAGACCCTTTTATAACGTAATGTAATGCAAAATGGCGCTTTCTTTTTTATTGAAAAGTTTTACAGTCTTTCCTGATTTTTCTCTTCGGTGTTTTCCATCAGATTTATAAATAGAGAATGAGAAAAATTTAATTATGCATTTTAACATCTGTTTAGCATCTTAATCGTGTTTAAAGGGCACCGGCCCACTTAAAATCTATTTTTTTAATATGATCCTTTTATCAAGTTTTGAAAGGAAATAGATGTTTTTAAAATGAAGTATATGTAAAAAGAAAAATTCATCCTTAGCCATAGTATATGACCGGATCCGTCAGTCACATATATGCATTTTGGGTCAGACAGATGTAAGCATCCATCCAAATAACTATAAGATGCTAGACTGGGAACACAGCTATAGATGATGTTTCTCTAGTGATTTGATCATTACCCAGGTGACAGTTTGTTGAAGCCAAGAATTGAGACCAGTTCCTGGTCTCACATTTAAAACTGACAGAATCGTAAACTTGCATGCTGTCTGATTTTTCTATTGGAATTTCTTATGTCTCACTTGCATGGGCATTTCAGCTCTGACTACCATGTCATTAAATGCATCTAGACCACTTCATCTCAATAAAGTGGTGTGGATGCAGTGGTGCTGTGGTTTTAACCCTTTAATGTAAAACATAAGCATTTTTGTAAAATACAGGAATATCTAAATGAAGGGTTAAACTCTCCTCTAGTGGCTGTCTCCCTGACTGCCACTAGAGGTGCTTTAACCTCTATAAAAGAGTAAAACTTTGTTCTGCAATCAAATTATGATTCTTCTGTGCACTATAGGTTCCCTAAATATTGCTTGCAGAAGAACACTGTATTCACCACAAGAACTACAGCGTAATGTAGTGGTTCTAGGGCATTTGGTCTGTCCCTGTAGGGTCAGCAGTAAAAACACTGCCTTTTCTGAGAAAATGCAGTTTTTCACTGCTGCCTATGACCACCTCTAGTAATTGTTTGGAAGGTAGCCACTAAAGGGACTTCCTAGGTTTGTCCCAGCAAAGATTGCAAAACTGGTGTTCAGCCTCTCCACACCAATGCAGGTCCAGTGGAAGGATGTTTGGCCCTGGCCCGCCTATGTGCGCCGCTTTCTCCCCCGGGAGAAAGCACCGCTAACCCTTTAAGCCTTCACACATTGTTTATCTGGTGCTGATATTCATCAGAGGATTCATAAACTGGTAACTAAAAATAAAGAAGCAAATATCTGAGATAAGGGTAAGCAGAAAGAGGTTAAGTAAAAAAGAAAACAAAATGAACAAGTGCATGGAGAGATGAGAGCACCTGTCTCCTCCGTAGTTCACAATGGAGTATCTCTCTTTAAAATGTGTAACTGTGAATGGTTTAGGATGCACGTTGTTGTATTAATATTTCCTGTGTTTATTTTATTTATTTTTTCCCCTATCTCTTTCAGGCAATGACAAAGGGTCTGGACCATCAAGGGATGCAGTGGTAAGATGCTGGCACACTTTATGGCTTGTGTTTGATTGGATTTGCCCAAAGAAAATGTTTTTTCTCATGGTGTAATTTAATTAACTTGTTGCCCATTTTATATCAGTAAGGAGAAAAAAAATATCAACTTGCCTCTAGAATTCATCACAGTTAGTGGAATTTCCAGACCCTTTTTTGTGAGACTTATCTGGTGAATGTCCCTCATCTGACTAACTGAATGATTGTAGGATTAAAGTAACACTCTAAGTTTAAAAATAAATAAAAAAAAACATCTCTTAGGCAGCCAATTGAGTTGTGGTTTAAGCAAAATGTAAACTTTTCCCTCAAACAGTGTTTTACAATGCTAGGCAAAACAGACAAGGTTTTTGCACCATAGCCACTTCATTAAGATGCAGTTGTTTTGGTGCTTAGTGTTTTCTTTTAAAGAACGCTCCAAGCACCATAACCACTACAACTCTCTAATAGATATGGTTACAGGAGTGCCCTGATGCATCACAATTGTAAACAGTGACACTGTTTTCAAAATTTTGACCTCTTACCTGGGGTCTGATGGGAGCTGCTTCCCACCTCCCCTAACTCTAATAGAGTTGGAAGTTCTCTGTATGGAGCAGCTGCCACTGGTTGTTCAGTTTCCAGTGTGCTATGCGTTCTCTCAATGGATGCAAATCATGAAAAGATTTAACATTAGCTTGATAATGACACTACCGGGGTGGAGTTACACCTCCAGGAGCAAAGTGCTTCATATCGGTATCTGCAGCGTTTCTTACTACATTTCTGTCTCAACAATCTACTTGTCCTGACATATAATAATTACAGATTGCGGCCACTACCTGATGTCATGGACATTGACAGGGTTATTCACTGAAGTCCACATTTTTGTAAATGAAATCTGAATGGAAAACTGAAATTCTCCAAATCAACATTGTCTCCATTATTTTCTTTGGATTTCAGTTGTGAACAGTTTAATGTTTAATGACTAATTCTATGTACATCCCTATAGTGTTTGGTGGCTGCATGTCCATGTCTGGTTTGTGTTGGCTGTGTATGTGTGAGCTGGCTCTCTGTAATGTAGATTCCCAGCCTGCATTATGACAGTGCCAGATTTTTAGGCAGCGATAACTGTACGTTACAGACCACATGCTCCATGTCTCCCCCATGTTCCCCTGTGTCAGCGCTAATGTGTCAGCGCTAATAGCCCAAAATACTCTGCCTGGCGCCTGAACCTGCATGTGCTGAGCGTTGGGTGATAGGAATTCACAACCCCTGGTCCTCATAGTGCTCCATAACATTTTGTGTAATTCCATTAAAGGGACACTATAGTCACCTGAACAACTTTAGCTTAATGAAGCAGTTTTAACATAGAAACATAGAATGTGACGGCAGATAAGAACCATTCGGCCCATCTAGTCTGCCCAGTTTTGGTGTATAGAACATGCCCCTGCAGCCTCACTGCTCAATCCTCTGCCATTTAGGAGTTAAATCCCTTTGTTTATGAACTCTAGTCACACCTCCCTGCATGTGACTTGCACAGCCTTCCATAAACACTTCCTGTAAAGAGGGCCCTATTTAGACTTTCTTTATTGCAAGTTCGGTTTAATTAAGATTTTCTTATCCCGTGCTATGTTAATAGCTTGCTAGACCCTGCAAGAGCCTCCTGTATGTGATTAAAGTTCAATTTAGAGATTGCGATACAATTATTTAAGGTAAATTACATCTGTTTGAAAGTGAAACCAGTTTTTTTTTCATGCAGGCTCTGTCAATCGTAGCCAGGGGAGGTGTGGCTAGGGCTGCATAAACAGAAACAAAGTGATTTAACTCCTAAATGACAGTGAATTGAGTAGTGAAATTGCTCTACACACTAAAACTGCTTCATTTAGCTAAAGTAATTTAGGTCACTATAGTGTTCCTTTAAAATTCCTTCATATATATATTTTCCATTCTGAACATTTAAAAAATAATAAAGTACTATAGATTCACAAAGATGGATGTGTAGCTATTCAATAAAATAAGGGTTTTGATAAACCACTGGAGATGAAGCTGCAGCTCTTGTCTGTGGCTAGATCGAACAACCTATTTTTGGTGGATATCAAAAGTCTAGGCTAATTTATTTCTTCATGGTTAAAGTTGGTTATTGCTTTTGCCTGTGTGTTTGCTTTGGCAATAGACATTTATTTTAGATGATGAAAAATAATGAAGTTAAGAATACAATTTTTCTATGTTCATAACTTTGGGTGGCCTAGTAACATTACAACACTTGTCCAGTATTGAGGTCACATAGTCCCACCCATTGCTAATAATTCTCGTGCTCACATTTCCCACAAGGTGCAAGGCCTGGGTATATTTGACAATGTATCCAAACCTATTGTATGTTTTGGTTTTTTTTTAAGGAGCAAAAGAGGAGTGAACGAGCTCGCCGTTCTGAGTCCCTGAGGGCGGAAGGCTTAGCATCAACGGAGAGCAGTAAGTTTTTATAGATCAAGTCACAGAATTGAATTTTTGAAATCATGGCTGATCCTTGTGTAGTAATGTCTAGGTTTGTAACCTCATGTAATTCTCTAGGTGTTTCATATTGTGTTTTTATGGGTGTAGAGCTTACACGATATTATCTCATACAGTGCAGATTTCAGATGAGGACTCCGACGCTATGGTGGACGACCCAAATGATGAGGACTTTGTACCCTTTCGCACACGTCGCCCAACACGCATGTCTCTTCGCAATCCAATACCACCACGTCCACCCAAGCCAACACTCACCAAGATGTCCTGTGCCAATTGCCGCACCCCTTTGCAGAAGGGGCAAACGGCATATCAGCGCAAGGGACTCCCCCAGCTTTTCTGCTCCTCTGCTTGTCTTACCACTTTCTCAAAGAAGCCTCTGGGCAAAAAGATCTGTACCTTCTGTAAGAAGTAGGTTTATTCCAGGTGGTTTAGTCCTAACTTATTTATTTTTTATATGCTTATTCTTGTTTTGTTTATTTTTAAAGACAAATTACTAACTTTTTCTTATGTTCCTTTATCACACATTTTGGCCTATATTCCACCCGTTTTATTTTTTTAATTTCATTGTACACATTTCAGGGATATACGCAATTCCAAAGATTCTGTGGTGGCTCAGACTGGTGCGGCAGGAAATTTTCAAGAGTTCTGCTCCTCTGCTTGCCTGTCCCTCTTCGAGGCACAGCCACGATCCAGCTCCCAGTCCTCGTCTGATGTCCCTGATATAATAAAGTGCAGCATCTGTCATAAGAGTGGAGAGGTGAGAATGATCCATAACATTTTGGGCTTAGTAGTCCTATGCTACTAGCCAGGGCTTAAGTTACTTGCACTTCAAGCCTCTTATGTATTATTAAGGGACATCCTATGCTATTGACAAGCCCTTGAGGCGGCTCTGTAACTGTCTGGAGTCTTCGCGTAAGTTGAGGGATCCCCCAAAGAGCCTTCTTTTCCCCACAGCCATCACTGGTGACAAAATGTAACTGAGCAAAAGACAAATACTAAGACCAAGTAGTCTCTACTTTATCTCAGCATATCTTTTGACTGTGTTGGAAACAGTCAGTGGGAGTATTTTATAAAGATTTTATATTTATAAAATACTAATTTTGCATGTGGGGTTTACTCGCCAGTGCAAGGTTTGCAGGGATGAATTTCTACATGCCAGGGCTAAAGATTCACTTGCCAATAGCTAGTTTTGAGTGGACAGTTTGAGCTCTGCTGTCTAGGAAGTGTTATGTAAGCATTCTTTGCAAGACAGACAGTTCTGCATTAATTAAATTAAGTCTAGAATTTTTAACATGTTCATGTAATATGTAGAAAATACATTATTGCGGATTGTCGACATTATACTCTGTTCAACCCACCTGAACCTTTTTATAGTGATTTTTGTCCTTCTTACTGATGTAGAGTACTGGACACCTTGTTTTAAGTAATCGACAATTTGAAGGAAATTAAAATATTTAATAATGGTTATTAGAATGGTCCGATGACTCATAGAACACAAAGGCCTAAATATGTATAAGGCAGAGAAATTGGTGGTCGAAACATGAATCAACTCACAAATATCTTGTGGAATGTACAGAACATGATATTTTATAGAAAGAGATTTAATGAGGAACGACAGCCAGGATATTATCTTTATGTGGAGGGAGTGTATATGTATATGCAGGAGAAACATTTTATAGGTCAAAACAAATACTGTTGAAGAGTTTACGTAGTTTCAGAACAGGCCTAGCTGTACCGGGAGCACACTAATTGTCTTTGGGCATGATAGATGTGCCAACTGGTTATTACAGGTGTTATAATCTGTGTTTTACCAGGCAAAACAGGGCCAAAAGTGTCAGGCAACATTTTACACACCCCAAACACACACAGACTTTGTTAAAGGGACACTCCATACACATAAAGCACTTCAACTTGCTAAAGTGCCTTCTGTGTATAAAGTATCCCATCTTAATTGCACTTTGTAAAAGTGCTTATTTCAATATAAAATGGGCACTTTTATTATTTAAATTAAGAAACTCCTCATCTGCTTGAGAGCACCCACCTTCTAATTTAAGTCACTGTGAATACGTGCGCACGCTTCCACAGAGCACTGTTTTACATGACTGCATTCTCGTAACTTCTCCATCCTCTGGCTGCCTACCTTGCTATGCACACAGGCTTCTCAGTGAGGCGCCTTTGGTCATTTCTCAGACACATACTGAAAGCCTGGGAGATATAGTAATGAAAATATGCATGCATATATCTGCTAAATATTGATTTTTATTTTTAAAAATGTATTTATTTTGTTATCCTGCTAAGTGTTCTTTTTTAAATGGGAGTCTTAAAACTGATTTTAAAAAAAATGCTGGTATATTCCATGAGAGTTCTTCAGGTACCCAGGAAAACAACTAACACGAAGACAGATAAACGAATACTTGGTTTTGTCTGGTACAAAGATCACACAAAGCTCTCAAAAAGACACACAACCATTAACAAAAATAGTTGTTTTTTTTTTGTTTGTTTTTTATTATTGCAGGAAACTTTTATAATCTGGGGAGTGGAAAAGAAATTCAGATATTGTACATATTAGATTATATATGCACATGCTTCACACATACTTGGATGGCTCCATGGAGGAGCTTAAAGGGACACTGTAGGCACCCAGACCACTTCAGCCTATTGAAGTGGTCTGGATGCCAACTCCCATCACCTTTAACCCTGCAAGTGTAATTATTACAGATTTTATAAACTGCAGATTTTATAAACTTCCGGTTTCTTAGACGACTTTTGGTTGGCTAAACAACGCTGGGCATCCTCGCACAATGCATGAGGACCTCCAGCGTCGCCGGAATCCCCGTTGAATAATGCTTTCCTATGGGGAGGTCTAATGCACACGCGCAGCCATTGACGCGCATGCGTATTATGTCTCCCATGCCGGCGAGGAGCGTGGGCGGAACCTGACCCTGCGCCGGGGGACATCGGGCCTGGATTCAGGTAAGTGACTGAAGGGGTTTTAACTCCTTCAGCGACTCTGGATTGGGGAGCGGGAAGGAGGGGGCACTCCAGGATGCTACAGTGCCAGGAAAACGGGTTTGTTTTCCTGGCTCTAGAGAATCCCTTTAACATTGCTCTTTCAGTGGGTGGAGATTTATAGATTGATATTTTATAACGAACCCGAGATTGGAACAGAAGTGTGAGATTTATTGAGCAACAATATGGAGTGGTGTTGCATTTGGTTATTTTCTCGTCACATTTTGATATCGATATGCTATTTCTGATGTATGCATGGTTTATATGTATTGAAGTGGTTCACATCAATACATATTGAGTCTGATGTCTCTCTTCTGGTTTTGATTAATAGAAAGAGAGAGTTTTGGGTACACCTTATAGGATATTGCGAATAGGTGTAATTAAATTTTTTATACACCTTCTGGCCCTTATCAGTAAACATTGAAAGGAAGAGAAGGCCAGCTGCCCAGTTTGTATCTCATTATATAAAAATTTAGCTGTAGAGTAAGCAGACTGTAGTAGTTTAGAATTCAATTTGAGGTGGTAATATTTAAAAAAAAATTTTTACTTTTTTTTTTTTTTTAAAGATAGCTGATGAAATGTTGTAGCTATGATTTTGAGAAACTCTCTCTTTGATATAGAATGTTAGGAGAGAAATTGACACTTTATCTCTGTATGAACCCATAAGCAGCTGTTTCCTACAACTTAAATTTTGAAGATTGGCTGTTACTACATGCCTCACGTGACATACTTTTTTTTTTTTTTTTTTTTCTAGATTCAGCATGAAGTGAGCAATGGGAGTGTCATTCACAGACTGTGCAGTGATATCTGCTTCACCAAATTTCGAGCTACCAAAGGCCTGAAAACAAACTGCTGTGACAACTGTGGTATTTACATCTACAACAAAGGTCTACCACTGGAGTACCTGTTCCACGAGGGTCAGCAGAAGCGCTTCTGCAATGCAGCTTGTCTTAACAACTACAAGAAGGTGAGGTGATGGTTCTGATACAATGGTTTGAGGTAAGGGCAGTCTCCAACGTTTCACCCATGTGAAACTCACGTGAGATGAAAATGTTTAGTGTATGTTGGGTACGGGTAGGTCTTCTTATTACAGCATTTATTTTCCTTGCAGAAAAACACAAAGGTTTATCCATGCATGTACTGCAAAACACTCTGCAAAAACTTCGAAATGCTTTCCAATGTGGATAAGAATGGTCGTATGGGCCTCTTCTGCTCAATCTGCTGCATCACCTCACACAAAGTCAAGCAGTCTGGACTGACAGGTGGTAACACAAGATGATGCTCATTATGTTATGTTTACCGTTATTGTTATTTTTAGTGATTTGTTAAAACCAGCATTGCAGTAAGCCCTATCCTAGTTGGTTTCTAAATCTGTCTAGTAATATCGCTGAACATAAATCTCACCGTAAATAATTAGCGTATGATAACAGCTATTTAGAGTTACATAGTTTAAATGTATTGTGATTTACTTTATTCATAAACATGTATCCTTTACACCAGCCTCTTTCTTATTATAGGCTTTCTTTCATTAGCAAAAATACTTCTAGCATTTGTGTAACACTTGAATTTGAAGTAGTGTAGAGAATTATATCCGTTCCTTAGAATCCTTGTAAAGTAGCCTGCACAATGAAGTTCTGTTTCCGCTACTTGCATTCTCATAAGACTCAATGAAGTACCATGCTATTTAAGTACTTAATGGTTGTAAAATCTGAGAATATCATTACTGCATTCATAAGTGTAGAGTTATATCTTTTGTTTTTAGAAGTTGTGAATGCAGATAATGAGTTGGTTACATTTTAATTATATTCTGTATTTTATTAGATGTAACAGGTGGACTCCAGTAAAGTAACACCAATAACATTTCAAACTTTGAAATACTACAATATGATATGGCTTTTTAAAAATAGGTTAATTTGCATCTCTCTATACCAGAGTATTTGCTGTGAGTGCATCTTCCTTTTAGCTCTGCTCAGCTGTACTTGGCTGGTAAAAGCCTGGCAGTTTAAAGGGACACTATAGCGTTAGGAATACAAAATTGTATTCCGTGTCCCTAACTTATTAGGTCACGCACACCTGCAGACATGAAAGGACATATGTCTTTTTTCACTAACGGTTTCCAGCGCAGAGGTTCCTCTGTGCTGACTTGGGCTTCTCCTCCTACGACTTCACTCTAATCGGGGAACCTAATGAGTGGCGAGAATAATAGAGCTTTATCATAGGAAAGCATTGAATTAATGGGGAATTTGACAACGTTAGACCTCCTCATGCAAAGCGTGTAGACATCCAATGTCCTTTCACAGAGTTAAACTCAATTTGAGAGAAGCAATCTCCTCTAGTGATTGTCTGGAAGACAGAACTATTTGAGGTTATATTAACCCTGCAATGTAAACAACAGAAGCGGTCTGGGTGCCCATAGTGTCCTTTTTACATGGGACTGGTGCCTCTTGACTGTGATTGTGGGCCTTTTGTACTTTCTTTTTTCATGTTGAAAAGTTTAGCGATATATTTTTAAAATGTTTGAAGAAAGTGTGATTATGGATTCTTGTGTCCTTGTATACTTGTAGTACCAGCCTTGTGTCTGTTTGCGCGGAGTACCAGCCTTGTGTGTGTTTGCGCGTAGTACTAGCCTTGTGTCCGTGTGTTTGCGCGTAGTACCAGCCTTGTGTCCGTGTGTTTGCGCGTAGTACCAGCCTTGTGTCCGTGTGTTTGCGCGTAGTACCAGCCTTGTGTCCGTGTGTTTGCGCGTAGTACCAGCCTTGTGTCCGTGTGTTTGCGCGTAGTACCAGCCTTGTGTCCGTGTGTTTGCGCGTAGTACCAGCCTTGTGTCCGTGTGTTTGCGCGTAGTACCAGCCTTGTGTCCGTGTGTTTGCGCGTAGTACCAGCCTTGTGTCCGTGTGTTTGCGCGTAGTACCAGCCTGGTGTCTGTGTTTGCGTCTGTGTATGCTCATGCTACCAGTTGTCTGTGTATGCTCGTGCTACCAGTTGTCTGTGTATGCTCGTGCTACCAGTTGTGTCTGTGTATGCTTGTGCTACCAGTTGTGTCTGTGTATGCTTGTGCTACCAGTTTTGTGTCTGTGTATGCTTGTGCTACCAGTTGTGTCTGTGTATGCTTGTGCTACCAGTTTTGTGTCTGTGTATGCTCGTGCTACCAGTTTCGTATCTGTGTATGCTTGTGCTACCAGTTTTGTATCTGTGTATGCTCGTGCTACCAGTCTGGTGTCCGTGTCTGTGAATGCTCGTGCTACCAGTTTTGTGTCCAAGTTTACTATTTTATGTCAAGTGCACATTTTTTTTTCACCAGAATTCAGACTGACTTTAATTTTTTTTTCATTCTAGGTCCTGCTCGTCCATGCAGTCTATGTAGGCGCAGCCTTTCAGAGCCTGCATATTACAACAAGACAGATCGTGTACTCTACCAGTTTTGTAGTCCAAGCTGCTGGACTACGTTTCAGGTAACTTAAGTTAATTATCAGTAAAGCTTATTGTATGTAAGAATTGGCTCGGCTAAGGTGTAGATCTAAAACAAGTGGCAACCTGCTTGACTGTGATTCCATATGACCTGCACTGCCTTCTTTATGAGATGCACTGTACCCTTAAGCTCACCATGAATCTTTTTCCAATCCTTCTTTGTGCTCTCCCCCTCCTTTTTTTGTGTTTGTTTCTGTGTCCTTGACAAGTAAATCAGTGCACAATTCCAGCTCTATATCTCTTTATATAAATACATGTAAGTGTGTGAACTTACTCAAACGAATAGCAAGTACATTTAACACATTCAACTTTTTATGTACTTGAACAGCTAATTATTTTGATTGTCGGAGATTTTCTTTTACTTTGTGGGTGTATTGACTAGCCAGTGAAATGAAAACAGAATTTGCACCAGTTGGTAAAAATCCCCCAGCTTGAGTACTCAGTTCAACGCAGTTCACTATTTAGTGCAAAACCCCTGCTGTTCTTTCACTCTGTCAGACTTAATCTAAAGCTGCTGTAGTGAAGTGTGAAATTAGGCCAAGTTGTGAACACATTATGCTTGTGGGGAGAGAAAAAAATACAAATAACACTGACATTTTTCTTTAAAAGCTGCATTCTTGTGCTTTTAATCGGGCGTAAACTGCTTTGAAAGATGGATTTGTCTTTTGCTTGCTTCTATTGTACTTCTTAAAGTATAATTTATTTATTTATTTTTGCCTCTACATTTACTTCACACATGTTGCACGTTTTTTTTCCATTTCTCCAGATTTCTCTTGCTTGTGTATTGCAGGGTGGATTGGTAGTTATTCCCACTTTGATTTCAAAATGCTTGGACATTATACATGTGATCTTTTCATCTTTTCATTGTGCCTTGTTCCATGAATAAGTGGAATTTGTAAATTTTAGTTAGAAGTTGAACTTTCGTTTGTGTGCTTTTACCATTCACATTTCATTTCTTGATTTGTAAAGGGCTAATTGCGCCACCGGCCCTGTTAACGTCCACTTTAAACTGTATGGTGAGAGCTCTTGACAGTCTGTCTCCTGGTTGTGGACACAATACTGGGTAGTTTGACACTTTCAAGGGTGCAGAATGCATCTTAGATTAAAAATAATGCAGAAATGCATGCCGTCCCTTCTTACATATTGAGCATTTTTCCCCCCAGAAATTGTTGCGCAACCTTTAGGCTTCTCGTTGAAAGCAAGGAGTCTCAACTTGCTATGTCCCTGAGTTGCATGGCTAATGCTTCATTTTTGTCAATATTCCATATTTTCCCATTATTCCCCAGGAACAATCCAAGCACCATAACCACTACAGCTCTTGCAACTTCCCACACATAAGTTATTAAACTGTTTCGGGATGTTTGCCCTGGTGCCTACTGATGCTACCACCTCTGCCCCTATAACCTATTGCACTATAGTGATTAGCAGAGGCATTCAGCCAATGAGCTGGCCTTGGACAGCATGGCTTTGCTCAGTCGGGATAACATATGCCCCTTGCAGGAGCTTCCAGTTCTAGATCTCTAAAGAAGGTGCGGAGGGCACTTGTCAGACACAAGTTAAGTTGTCAAACTGTTCTCAAACCGTTTACTTACTGTAGGAGGGTACCAGGCCAATCCTGGCACCAAAACCACTACAGAGGGGTGTAAAGATTATGGTGCCTGAGTTATTTTAAGGAGTATTTGAAATGACCGCATAAATAAGCTTTACAAAAGCTGTAAGAGGAGACACAAAATTATTCATCATATTTATTACGTTTTGGCATCCATATTGTTCATGTGTTTGTGTATAATCCCCCTTTTTGTGATTTGTGTTTAATTGCACAAACGTTTTTAGACGTCCCAGTGCAGTTTAAAACTGGTCAGTGACCAAAACAATTCATTAAATATATATTGTGTTGTGATCATCTCATAAGACTTTTTAAAAAAAATTTTAGTTACTTGTTTAGTGATTCTTTTTTTTTTTATATATATATATGATTCTTTTTTTTTTTATATATATATATACACACAAATGAGTAAAATGCTTTTTTGCTGAAGTGACAGAGGTGCCAGATGCTTTGAGAATGTCTGTCTGAAATCCTGACCTACCAATTATTATGCAAGTCAAACTGTCTGGTGTCTTTCATTTTATTTTTATTAAATGCTGTCACCTACAATTACTTTTTCTATGTTGTATTGCATATAAAATAGTATTGTGCCTAATAAACAACAACAAGTAAACCTCATATAAGGTGGTAAAAGAACAGAGTGAGAATGGACTGGAAAGAAAATTGAAAGGGGGGGGGGAAAGGCGGCAACTGCAACCTAGGTTAGACATTGTGTTTTGTTTTAAAATTGTCCTTTGTATCACATTTTAGCGCACCAGTCCTGAGGGTGGAATCCAATTGAATTGTCATTATTGCCACAATATGTTCACAGGGAAGCCAGAGATATTGGACTGGCAAGTAAGTCATTATGTGATGGCATGCAGTATGGTTGCCTTTGTGCTTTTGTGGTACCTTTGTTTTGGAGTAATGTCTGGGGGTGTCGGGGGGTGTCTGTCTGTCCTAATTGAGTTCACTGCTGCATGCAGAAAAACAGCTGGGCAATTTTGTTTGCCTTGCCATCCTTGTTAAGCTTTGCATTTATGGTGATGACTGTGTGCTGTCCATAGGACCATGTGTATCAGTTCTGCTGCAAGGATTGCTGTGAGGATTATAAGCGGTTACATGGGGTGGTCTCTCAGTGTGAATACTGCAAGCAGGAGAAACTTCTCCATGAAAAAATACGTTTTTCCGGAGTAGAGAAAAACTTCTGCAGTGAAGGTAATCGGACTGTTTATATAAAGAGTAAAAAAAAAATGTGTGCATTCGGATAACGGAAATATATCTATGTGATGATGTTTTTGTTGGTGGTTTTTGTTGCTGTGTAAACATGGTGTCCCCCCCTTGTTTCATGCTGGAAGTTCTGGTTGAGATTCCATTCACTTTTGGCAGGCTGTGTGCTGCTATACAAGCAGGACTTCACAAAGAACCTGGGTCTATGCTGCATCACCTGCACTTACTGTTCTCAGACCTGCCAACGTGCAGTCACAGAGGAGCTGGATGGAAGCACATGGGACTTTTGCAGTGAAGAGTGCAAGAGCAAATACCTTTTGTGGTACTTTAAGGTACGCTTTTGCGAGAAGGCTGGGTAGATACATTAAAGGGCTAAAACGGGACAAAAGGTGCTGATGTTTGTATCTTTCAGTATAGGAAGGGAGCTGCAGGCCTATGGGATAGACTTTTTTTTTTAAGTGCATTGTTCACGTTGCATTGATTTGATACTGTTTGGCAGGGTAGAAGATTTTTTAGACACAACTAGGGGACTGTTGAACACATTTGAGTTGGTTCTGATAGTGCTGGTAGAATCCCGTCCACTCATTCTGCTCACTCTTTGCCACCTTTTTCCCCTGTGTCATATTTTGTCTGGAGGTAGATCGCACTGCATATTTTATGATTACGCTAATATTGTTCCTCTCTCTCCAGGCAGCAAGATGTCATGCTTGTAAGCGTCAAGGGAAGCTGTTGGAAACCATTCACTGGCGTGGAGAAATCAAGCATTTTTGCAACCAGCAATGTTTGTTACGATTCTACAGTCAACAAAACCAGCCCAACTTAGATACTCAAAAGGGGCCTGAAAGCCTCCTGCATAGTAAGAAAGGTGTGTAAAAACAAAGTAGTGGTAAAAGACCAAAGGAAAAAGATCTGAGAAATGAAAGGTGGGCCTTTTTTTAATCTAACACTTGCTGTTCTCTCTATCTATATCCCTTTTCTCAGGGGCCTCTTAAATGGTTATGTAAAGTATTTTATATTTTGGGAAACATTATTACTTATTGATTTATCCCCTTTCGGGGATATCTGTACTTTAAAATATTTGACTACTTTGTATTTTGACTTTTAAATAATCCTTGCATGCATTTACTTATTGAGAAAATTATTTCCTTTCTCATTAATAGGTCAAAATGCAGGATCCAAAACCCCAACAGCTGTCCAAAACAAAGCAGAGACTAATACGGTAAGAGACTGCAAGTGTATGATTTAGTGAAAAAGCTTGGGAAGTGGTATAAGGCATGCTTTTTATGGTAGAGAAATAATTAAGATTCACTGTTAGGATCCTGGTTGATTTGTAGTCTTGGAACTTATGGGTGAGATAAGTGAACAGTGCGACCAGAAATAAACTTTGACCAGTTATTGGTAGTCGGCAGCGGTATTAGAAGCTTCCTGTGTGTAGGTGTTTGTTATTTGGTCTGTGTGTTGATCAAAAAATGTGCTTATGAAAAAGTAGACAAACGGTTTAGGACATGCGTAGAGCTGGTTGCATATGTTATTACACTCTTTGCAGAACAGAAACTTTCCATACTTGCACATTAAAAGAATTCTAAACCGCCCCAGTCATCTTTATTTTTTGTGTTCATGTCCCAGAATGCCTCACGAAGAGCGTCAGAGAGAGGTGACTCAATGCATGGTGGAAGCAGAAAGCCTGTTGCGGGGAATCGGGAAAGGACAAAGCCTGCTGAAGTAGGAGAGGACAGAGATAGTTTGGTAGGGCTCAGATGTAATGGTGTAGGGGGGGCTTTTACAGAGCGTGTAATCAGCAAATGGCTTTGGTTGCAAAATGAGGAAAAGAAAAAAAAAAAGTCTTTGTTACAGAACTGAAGATTTTGAAGACCCGTTTTCCACAAAGAGGGTAAGACTGTACAAGTGAGCAAACTGTGTGTATGTATTACAGCTTGGCTATTTATTTATCACGTAGGCTTCACCAAAAAGTCGTACTGCACATGCGGCAGCAACCCCTACAACTCCAACAAGTCCTCCTCCTTCTAACCGCAAAAATAAAGCTGCAATGTGCAAACCCCTAATGCAGAATCGTGGAACATACTGTGGGGTGGAGATGGTAGATGGTGATTGTCAGACAGGTGAGATGATGTGAATGCCTGTCATTGGTATTATCCTATGTCACGCTCTACGTAACTGATGGACATTTTGTGTATGTATTTTGTTTAATGTTATCTCATTGTAGATGAAGATTACAAGCCGCAAGTCATAGTGCTGCCCATTCCAGTTCCCATATTTGTGCCAGTACCCATGAACTTATACTCTCAGAAAGTGCCTGTAGCATGCACTATGCCATTCCCGGTGAGTGATGTCGTTGTCTGTTTGTAGATTCATATGGCTATCTAGCTTCACTTCCTACAAAATTTCCACACTACTAGAGAGAGACTAAAAGGTCTGGGGGTTCCGTGGCGCACACTCTATTGGTGAATTTATGCCCTCCATGGCTGAAATTTCACTTGCCAGTGATGAGTTTTATTTTTGAGTCCTGCCTTTTTATTTTTATAACGATTTGTTGATTCCACTTTTTTTTGCTTTTTGGTCACTTTCCTTTCTATTTAAAATAAAAAAAAAAAACAAACAAACCAAAAAAAAAAAAATACCTATTTGCTACCTTGCTGACTCTCTGGCTTTTTCCTTCAACAAATAATCTGTCTTTTGTCATTTGTCACTGTTTCATAAAGTTCTGTCTATTCTGTCAATTGTTTGAACCATTTCTTTTGATTAGCCATTTTTCTACTCTGCATACTCCTAGGTACCGGTTCCCGTGCTGCTACCGACCACCCTAGAGAACACCGATAAAATTGTGGAAACAATTGAAGAGCTGAAAGTAAAAATCCCATCCAACCCGTTAGAAGCTGATATTCTGGCTATGGCTGAAATGATTGCTGAAGCAGAGGAACTGGACAAGGCTTCGGACTTATGTGGTAAGACATGAGTTTTGCTGTGATGCAGCTAAATGATAAATAAAAAGCATTGCTGTAACATTTGGAGTGTGCATACCTGAACATATCTGAAAGTTTTCATTGTATTGTTAGGCAAGTTTATATTTTCTATATCTTGTGACCCTTAAAGTTTGGTTTCTTTCTAAATCAGACCAGCCTTTTTCAGTGTGACTTTTTATCATTTTTTTTTTTTTTTTTTAAAAGCAAGTACATTGTACATGTAATTCCAAACAGAGGAGTCAAGTGCTATTTTGAACGTAGTTTAAAAAAAAAAAAAAAAAAATTATTTCTAGCTTGGCATTACCTGCAAGTAGTTTAGTGTGGGGGACACCTTCTCAATCATAGTCTTGTCTGTCAGATGGGGAATGTCTTTGATTAGCAGAAGTCCATCAAATTGGTGGCACCCCACAATATAGCTAGTCACCTATTACCAAACCAGAAGAATTCTCTTCTATTTCTCACCATAGCTGGCCAAATGGAGCAGGCCTCTGATACTGGAATTGGGGGAAGGACGGCCACTGTTCACATCGGGAATCGCAAGCAGGGTAAGTGGGTCCGTTGCTGTTCTCCAACCGATGCATTTTAGTCACTTGATTTGTGTTCGTCTGCTCACCACAAGGCTTCGTACGTTGGTGAATCTGTATTTCTGACCAGTCAGGTAATGCATTGGTAAGATGTCCTAAAGGACATCTAGGGTTAATTCTCTGACCAAAACCCTATTAAACGCAAAAGGCTCTGTTTTTATTTATTTATAAACTTGGATTAAAATTTACATATATTATTGCCTCTGTGTTGTATCATTGTGTGAATCATACATGTAAGGGAAGCCTTTTCAGTGCTTGTCTCGGTTTTCCTTATTCTCTGGACGCAGCCATCTTTAAGTCCTCATTGGATGGAAACTCTCGCTATCCAACCAAAGGCCACATTTGTAATCAAAATGTACCGCTAGAGTCCCAGATACAATGCAGAAGCACTGGGGTTTTCCAAATGCTTTGAGCTGATATCAGTTGTTAATATTGTACACTGTTGGGTCATCACTTGGAAGCATTGCATGCAATTCAAAATAATATAATGAGGCCATATTACATGTACCTGTGTACATATTTTATTTTAAGTAGTAAAAATGATTGTTTCCCTTCAGTGGAAAATTCTTATTTTTCAAAGAAACAAAGCATCCAGACTGCTATTGAATGGCTATGTAAAGATTTTTTTTTTATTTTTTTTTTTTAAATTTATGTCTGTATTTATGTATAATCCTTCTTGTCTTTTTCCGGTGGATGTTTATTTGATTTTAGATATTGCAATAGCATGGAGCCCTCATTTTAAATCCAACTTTGTGCCATTGTTTTCTGTGTAGTGAATAGTTTACATGCAAGAACATGATTTCACTTACAAAATGCTTGTCTTGGTTACACTGCAACCTATACCTTACAAGTAAAGTACATTTAAACATTTTGAAATTCCTGTCTGCTGCCTATTAGCGCATCATCCATGTCTTGGAAGCTGTGCAAAATGCCCAAATATGTATTTTTGTTTTTCCAATCCTGTTAGTAGTCTAAGTGAGAGGTAGTCTATTTCGCTGCAACCTTCAGATATGTTGTGTGATTGTCTGCTTTTTAAAGCACATGTCCCAGGAGAAGATGGCTATTTAGATATTTTGGCTACTTTATTTTCAACAGACCTATCTTCTCTAATGCTTACCGAGTTTGCAGAGAAGCTTTCCATCTCAATCGAATTATATTAAAATATAAAATTACTCACCCATAGCCAGATGGAGCAAAACCTTGTTAAAAGAAAACATGACAAAAGTGGATTACTTTAAAAAAAAAAAAAAAAAAGCTATTCTGGGCAGTGGAAATTGAGTCCTGGTGAACAGAACTTGATGAAGGTGTTAAGAATGTGATGTAGCCTCTTGGTGTCAGAAGTAGATCACAGAGGCTGTTGGACTGTTGCCTCAATTGACGTGGATCTGTGCAACCAGTACCAATTGGCGCAGCTCCGTGCAACTTGCAATGATTAGTGAAGTCACAGCAAGGCCTCTAACAGTGTAAGCCACAAAGGAGGCTTATTAAAGCACTAGTCCCTGTGTCTGCGTAATGCCCATTGAATTGCAACACATAGGTCAAATGCTGGTTAATTTGAGTTGTTTCCCCCAGCCCCCTACAATTATTCATGTGTAAAGAAGTAGCCCTACTCCAGCCTCTAATTAAACCAATATTTTTACATTGGCAATCCATTTTAATCTAGTGGCTAAAAACTGCAACAGGTGTCGATGTTTATAGAAATTTGTGAAAGAGTAACAACATATTAGCTGCACTATTTCAAGGGGCATCAAGATCATTCACAGCATTATTTGCATCTTCTCTTTCCTACAGAGCTCATTAGTAATCAGAGTGCGGAAGGATTGCTGGAAGACTGTGATCTCTTTGGGCCAGCAAGAGATGATGTATTAGCCATGGCTGTAAAAATGGCAAATGTGCTGGAGGAGCCAGGACAAGATTTGGAGGCAGACTTCCCAAAAAGTAAGATTGTTGTCATACTTGGTGATGTTTGTGCATTCTGCCATCAATAATTCTCCCGTAATACACCCACTTCTTTTTTTAATTTAAATATTATTTTTTTGTTTTATAAAATATATATTTATATAAAACATATGCTTGCATGTAGATTCTTTGGACATTAATCAGAGTGTGGATTTCCTCTTTGACTGTGGTTTGGTGGGATCAGATGATGCATCTGAACAGGAGGCCTCCCGTGTCTTGCGAAAAGTGAGTGAAAATACTTGAAGCAAAAGGAATATGCAACACTAGGGTCATCATTGGTTGCCCCAAAGTGACTTTTTTTTCTTTTCATCTTGCTCTTTCTCAGGGCCCCAAACGAGCACTCCTTTCAGAAAGAGAAAGCTGCTCCAGAGACTCTCTAAGCAGTCAACGGAGCAGCACTGCCCTCAGCTTCACATATGGTGTGAATGCCTGGAAATCCTGGGTGCAAAGAAAGTATGAAGGGGGCGAGCCCAAGAAAGGAGAAGAGATACGATTTGGACGTAAGTATAAGGAATTTGATGTTGGCTACAGGTTGTGGAGCACATTTTTTTTTTTTTTTTTTCCTCCTCATTTGATTAAATCTATGAAGGCGTTTATCTCAAGTCTGATGTGGTTATAATTTATTTTATGTTCCACAGTAAACCTTAATTTGCTATAGGTTCTTGTGTATCACAAAATTGGTTTCATATTTCCCCCCCCTCCCCCCGCCTTGGCTTTATTTGGACAGCCCTGGTCAAGTGTTTTTTTTTGTCATCTCCCCAGCGAAGCCCATGCGGATAAAAGAGGACATCTTGGCTTGCACAGCTGCAGAGTTAAACTATGGCTTAGCACAGTTTGTGAAAGAAATAAAGCGACCAAACGGAGAGCGATATGAACCAGATAGTATATACTACCTGTGCTTAGGCATTCAGCAGGTAAGTGTATTTTGTTCTGATTGCATTCTACACTCTGAACTCCTGATTTTGGCAAGGCTTCTTCCTCTAAACCTCTTGTTTTATGATTTGATGCAGTATCTTCTAGACAATAATCGCATGGTAAACATCTTTACGGACCTGTATTACCTGACATTTGTGCAAGAACTGAATAAGATATTGACGTCCTGGCATCGAAACCTGACTCCAAATAGTAAGCGGATAATATATCAATAACGTATGGAACATTATTTTTGGTACATATAAACCCTGAGTTGTCAGGATGGTTTGGAGTGCTGTGTGTCATTATTTTTTTTGTTTTGTTTTGTTTTTTTGAGTGAAGGGAGGCAGTATTTACAAAGGTTTTTCATTATTTGTATTATGTTTTAGGGCTGATATACTCACGTGTAGAAGAAGAACATCTATGGGACTGTAAACAGCTGGGAGTATACTCTCCTTTTGTTCTCTTGAAGACACTTATGTTCTTCAACACAAAGTACTTTGGGTTACGCACAGCAGAAGAGCATATGCAGTTGTCATTCACTAATGTGGTACGACAGTCCCGCAAATGCACCACCAATAGGGGAACCATGAAAGTAGTCAGCATTCGATACTATCCTCCAGCTCGTCAGAAGAAAGGTAGAGGTATGTACCACTACATTGACATCTGTCCCTCTTTTTGATCTAATTTTTTTTTTTTTTTTTTGCTCCAATTTGTCTTTTTATAAATGTTTGCGCTATGAGACACATTTTATTGGAAAAATAATACATTTTTTTGTTTCTCGACCTCCAAGAAAGCTCTACAAAACGGAAACGTGAGGAAGAAACACCACTACTGGAGCAAAATGAGAACAAGCTGAACCCTCTACGCTGCCCGGTCAAGTTCTATGAGTTTTATCTATCAAAATGGTATGACCAATTCTAAAAACTTTATCTGCTGCTTGCCAGATTCTTTTAACCTTTTGTCAGTTGGCAACTGTGGAACAGAATGCCATTCTTTTCTTAACTGCTTTCTCCTAGTCCAGCATTGTCCCTATTAAGTGTTTGTTTTATTTTTTCCTTCCTGAATTTGCAACATTGCATAAAATAGTTCTGTAAAGCTGAGAAATTTGATTCTACCTAGGAAAAGAACATGTCCTCCAAGCAACAAGAAATGCTGTCCATTGTTTGATTCCTGCTATTCTCTACCTGTGCCAAATTGTGCTGGACAGATATAGTTAACTAGTTAAATGTGTTTAGTTTCACCTGTCACATGGGTGCCTTCTTCACTTCTAGTTGGTCTAAATCTGGACTATCTTAATCGGCTAGAGACTAGGTATCACAGCCTTTCTTTTGGATGTGATACCTAGTCTGGAGCCAATTAAGTGGTAGATTCATATCTTTGTTACATTCTCCGTTCCCATATGCAGTTCTGGTTGCAATAGGGATTTCCTCAAGTTCTCAGCAGGGCAAATTCTGGTGGTGGCTTGATCGATAAGTCTATCAACGAGCTCCCCTTTACTTAATTTTAAATGCATCCACACTAACATTGTCTGCTGATATGGTGCCACAAGATCTACTATGACTCAATTTGTATGTAATTGAATGTGAAAATGTCTGAAGTGTCCAGAGCAAATCCCTCTTTTTGTGCTTCTACAAACCACAAACCTGTATATAAGGGTCTCATTCCGTTGGGAGCCGACAGAAAGGGACTTATGACTTTTCTGTACCTATGCTTTGTTAAACATCCAGCCGGAAATGTGGGGATTTTTAATTTGGAAGTAAACGTGCTATGCATGTCCATTAGACAATATTATAGCTTCTTGGCTGCACTGTGTGAGAGATTTGTTTTAGGTGTCTTTGAACAGTAATATGTACAAAAAAAATTGTATTTGTAGTCTACATTTATATTTTAGTTATGCATTTCATGTTTCAAACAAATGTTAAAGGGACTCTCCAGGCAGCCGTTTTTACTCACCTGGTTCCAGCGCAGGGAGCCTCGTGAAGCCTCGCCCCCTATTTCGTAAAAATTATGAAATAGGCGGGCTCGAGCAGGGAGCAGTCAGATTCTTCCATTTGGAAGAGTCATTGCTCTCTTGTGCGCATGCACGGCATTGACTGACAGCTTAGCTCGCGGTCTTTGCCTGCCCCCTCTCCTCTGCTGACAGGCAGGAGAGAGAAGGCGCGCACACAGTGCCTTCTCTCTCCTACACACGTCAGATGTATTTTAATACGTCTGATGTTTACAGGGCCTTTTTAGGGCCATACATGATAGCAAGTCCCTCTGGTGGCCGTCTGAGTGATGGCCACTGGAGGTATTACTATCAATCAATGTAAATACTGTATTTTCTCTGAAAATACAATGTTTACATTAGATTGCCTGCAGGGAGCTATAGATATCACCTGAACAACTACATTAAGCTGTAGTTGTTCAGGTGACTGTAGTGTCCCTTTAAGATATTTTTCTTTGATTTAAATAGTGAATGTGTTAAGTGCACACAGGGGACATTGCACAACATAATTTTCTCTCCTAGGTGTTACATTATTATTTAAATTCTACTTATCACATAGAATGTGACTGCAGATAAGATCTAGTCTGCCCAATTTTCTAAATACTTCCATTAGTCCCTGGCCTTATCTTATAGTTAGGATGCCGTATGCATATCCCACGCATGCTTAAACTCCCCCACTGTCTTAACCTCTACCACTTCAGCTGGAAGCCTATTCCATGCGTCCACTACCCTCTCAGTAAAGTAATACTCCCATATATTATTTTTAAGCTTTTGCCCCTCTAATTTAAGACTATGTCCTGTTGTTGTGGTAGTTTTTTCTTTTTAAATATAGTCTCCTCTTTTTACATAGCTCCTGGCCACGTCATCTGCTCTCTGTGTTTTTTTTTGTTTTTGTTTTTTTTTGTTTTTTGTTTTGTTACCGGCATGAAATTATAATTTACTGGAGCTACCGCCCGATTGCTGCCTTTGCCCATTTCCATGTATGTGTATTTGCTTTATATCGCTGGTTATTGTACATGATATGGAGGATGTTGGCTGTCTGCAAAGACAAATCTTCAGAGTTTACAAGTTTTAATCCCACTTGTGAATGCTAAAGTAAGAGTTTTAATGTCTACAAACCCAGGGAGTAATACTTTTCTCAAAAATTCAGGAGCTAGGTAAGACTTTCATTTGTGTATAATATATATTATTTTTAGTACTTTCAATGTGTGTTGTTTTAAATTCTTTCCTTACATAGTTGTTCACCTTGGTTGATATATACTCCTGTTTTTCTTTTCTCCCCTTTAACAGCCCCGAGAATCTTCGCAATCGAAGTGACTTATTCTATTTGCAGCCTGAACGCTCGTGTGTTGCAGAATCTCCGCTGTGGTACTCTGTTATAGCAATGGACAAAAGTATGCTTCAGAGTATGTTAAGTCGTATCCTGGCTGTGAGGGAGGTGTATGAAGAGCAATTACGAACGGCCAGTGCGAGTGATGACACAGATTAACTGTTGGATGGAAATAGTCTGTAAATCTTCGCTTTCCACCTACAAGTGAACTTGGTTGAACACCTCATAATCTTACAGACGGACAGTCTGGAGCCCAGCCAAGTGTAGTAATGTGGGCTTTTACACAAACTTGGCCTCAGTTGGTTCTCGGCACTTCCTCCACCCATTCTCTCTCCCTACACTTTCCTGCAAGTTTTTTTGTTGTTGCAGATGAGCTTACAAACATGCCATTTTCTCATCTTCATGGGCTTAATGGAAACAACAGTGTTGTTTGACCCCGCTGCACTTCTGTTCTTTGATGTGTAGGCTATACAAAAATGCAGCAAAGCAGACTAAGAGCAGCAGGTAAAGTGGCTTGCAAAAGAGAGATTGCATCTCTTGCTACCACTCTATGCTTGTGCATGTGACATTATGCACACCATCGCTATTCGGTAGCAACCAGATGGTGACGAAACAGACCTGTAGCTGAAGGTATCTATAGGCTTTTGCTGAAGTAAGATAACTACGATCACTAAAGGCCTGAATAACCCACCAAGTAGCTGAAACTGTTGGCATAAATGACACATGCCCATTTATTGGTTCTTCCTGATAATGTCACAACAAAGTGGTCTGCATTTGTATCAAACGTGGGAATCAGGCACTGGCCAGCAGATGTCGCTATATCTACATATTTTCACAATATGTACTCTATACAAGAACAACAAGGCTGCAGATAAACTCGCTCTGACTGTTGCTAGGACCAGCAATCCTTCAGTGCTGACACTTGCGATCTCCAAGGCCACCCACCCCACCCCTAAATAACTGACCGAGTCTGGTAATTAGGCTTCACAATGGGAGATGTTTTTTCTTTTCTTTTTTTCTTATTTTGAATTTTTTTTTATATATATATATATATATATTTTTTTTTTTGGGTGGTGGGGTGGGGGTGGGGATGTAACCTCTGAATGGGTTCAGCTGCTCAAACATGTAAATATTGTTTTTATGCGCGTGCCCTTTGCGCCCGCCTCATATTCACACTTGTCATGTGCCAGGTCCTGGCAGAGCCCTGTGTGTTGGGAAAATTTCATTGCAAATAAAATGGTTTTAATTCCTTCATATGAATGGCTGGAAGACCCTTAACAAATACAGAGTGTTAATATTGTAATAACTGGGGGGGTTTTTTTGTTTTTTTTTATTTTTTATTTCCATAGTAGAACTGCCTTTACATACAGCTGCCTTTGGCTACTATTCTGTGTTGTAAGTACTCTATATTTCAGACACTTTATGCCCTGTAAGTGTATTTTAGGACAGGCCTGAGCCCACCATTACCGTTTGGCTGCATTATTGTGCCTCTTAATATCATGGACATGCTGAAAAAGCTGTCCCTGTTTTCCTCCCCCTTTTAGACTTTAGACCCTTGAATGCAGAACAACTGCTGCCACAACACATACTTCTCCCAGAATAATCTGCAGGAGCAGCAGTGTATCAACACTACCATCTCAACAGACCTGAATAAACAAACCGACACGAAGTGGCCGCAGTAGGTTGATTGAAGAGAATCCGGATTAAACGTATTACGATGGGACACGCAGTTCTTGGTATTTCATATCGTTATCTGATTATCGTCTGGATTCAGTGAGATACGAGAGGTTATCTTTTCTTACCACACATTTCCTATTTGTTAATAAGGAGAATGCAGGTGTTAGATTTTAATTACTTTAGCACTTAATCACGCACACACTGCCTTTTACACACAGCCTCTCCTATCCACACCCAACTCCTCCTACCTGGTGCAAGTTAATGTGTGTAAGCATATATACTCCTACACATATACAGACACAAAAAGAGGGTTGCAGCAGTATATTGTTTTCCATTCATATTCGCTACATTTGTGTCCAAAATGCTTAAGCACCTTTGAATTTTAATGAAATAGTCTATTCATGCTGTTCACATTTCAGATCGCTCTTCATTATCCAGTTTTTGTGCCAGTGGGTTACAATATCTGTTTCTTGTTAAATTGTTTAAATAGATGCAAAATGGCTGTAGACTTTGAGTTTCGAGGGACATACCACACACCTTTTTTATTGTCGTCATATATTTAGATTGTTCAGGAACCGCAGCATTTCCTTGGTTTTACACCAACATACGCTGAAGCTAAAAGTGAAAATCAAGAAAGAAAATTGCATCCCCTACACGGCTGCTTGTGGCCCGTGTCATTTCCAAATGTCTTGTCATTACACAGATATGTTTGTGCCATGCCAAATAAATTTAGAGTAGGCTCGAATTGAGAAAACAAAAAAAAACACAGGGAGCCCAAAACACTCTATGCTGCAAAAATAAATTTAATTAGTTTTCTTTTATTTCTCCCTCTCTCCCCACCACCACCACCATATATTAAGGTTTTAGAACTTATTGTACAGTCACACTAATGTACTTCTTAAGCATCATGGCCATTATAATGTTTTCTGTGCTGAGTATAGTGCTGTGTGCACTCATAGTACAGCTCCTGCACATTTAAAAGACTGTATTACTATATGAGCATACATTGCTTGCTCACCCTGTCCAAGTAGCCCGTGGCATGGAGCAGTAAATGCTTCCACAAATGTCATATGGAATGAGAGTAATATCATATCTGGACACCCAAGTATATGAAATAAAATGGCATTGATTTGAAAAATTGTTTACAGGGACACATTTTCTAGCACCATAACCACTCCAGTAACGAGAAATGGTTATGATGCTTGGAGGGGCCCATTTAATTCCTGCCGTTCCTTTTGCACCAGACATACAAACACAAATTTAAAAGGTTTTCTTTTTTCTAGTAATATGGTGTTCACCCCTCAACGTACCAAATATGATTCTATAATGGATTTGCAGTGGTAGAGAGATGGAGTGATTGCAAACTCCTTGCTTTTGTAGCATTGTGCTAATTTGAGATTATGGATTTTATTCGTTAACTCAGAAACTGTGGAGAATTGACAGGATAACTGCAAAGTTTGGGCCAAAATATTTGGTCTAAAATTTGCAATCGTTTAAGCAATTCTTCGCAGTTAAAGGGATTATTGAATAAACTCCTATATTTTTGGAATATAGAAAAATGTGGCTATGTTTGATAAAACTCAGCACTCGTGGTCAGCGTTGTGAATTAATTCTGCAGTTTAAAAACTACAGAAAATCAAACTGTGAACTTCTTTGGTTTTAGCAAAGGATGAGATTTATTTTTAGATGTGATTGGAAGGTTACAGCCCAAATGACAAAGGCCTGCAACACATTGCAAAAATAAATTTTAAAAAATGTGTTGCAGGACAATCTTGCAGTCTTTTCAATACAAGTCTGTTATGAAAACGTACATAAATAAAATCTTACTGTTCATATTCTTTGTTTCTTTTTCCCCACAAAGCATACATTTCCTCTATGTTAAATTAATAAATCATACAGAGTTTTATGTTGTGGTGATGTTTTACCAAGGGCTGCCTGACCAGTAGTTAATAACTACTGTCCATTTTATAAACACACCATTTCGGATCTTCGTCTACACAAATACAAAAAAAAATGTTTTTTAAATGTACTTTTATCATTGCCCCCTTTTTTTTTCCCCTTTCCTCTCCCCCATCTACACTTGACTCGCGGTCAACCATACTCTTCCCCAGTTATCATTGGCAGTAAATTTGTGCGAAAATTAGTTTCAATTAGTTCATCTGACTCAAATTCCCTTTAAATCCACAGCCGAATGAATCAGTTCATAAAGAAAATAAACTACTTCCCAGGTAGATCAATTCGTTTGGGTGTGGATTAAAAGAATTTTGATTCGGTCGAACTGGCCCAAACTAAATTTTGCACAAGTTTAATTGGCGACTTTCAATATAGGGGGAGAGGATACTGCTTCTCTGAAGTGTCCAGTCTAGCACTGAAATTAAGAAACCGCTTGGGGAGGAAAAAAAAAAGAATTAGCTAAAATGCCATTTTCATAGTAACTAGCTAACTCAAGTAATGATGCTTAATGTGTGTTATATAGATTTCTTAACTGGTCACCTTATAGGTACAAGTGAGGTAAACACAAATCAAGCTCCTTTACAATAAAACTGGTTCATTAAATAGAATGTTATGAGCATCTTAATATCAATAAGAATGTTATGAACACTCTGAATGCAATAAGACATCGAGTTTGGAGTCTGTTCCCGGTTCCCAAACAATTAAGCAGGAGTTTGTGCTACATTACATGCACTGCTAGTTCACCTGTCTGCAGGTTTCTATCATACTGATAAATCCCCAGGCCGGGATCTGTTGCTACTCTGTCTGCTGTTTCTGCTGGGCATCCTCTGTTTTTCACTTCGGTCCATTTCGCTACTGCTCTCTGATGCTACATTAAGTTCTGGAATCCCATTGCGTTCTACAGCCTGGTTCTCTCGGTTCTGTTTCCGGGCTGCGTGGCTGCTGTCCAGTGCATTGGGAGTGTTCTTATTGGAAGAAATTGGGAATGGAAGAGCTGGGCTGAAAACTGAATTCCGCTCAGGTGGAGAGTAGTGGGGGAAATGTGGAATAATATGGGTAAGGGTGTTGTTTCCAGTTTTGGTTTGTGATTTAGGCACAGTCTCGCATCCAGAGGAGGATAAGCCTTGTCTGCACTTTGTGAATCCCAAGTAATAAATTTCAATCAGATTGAGCAGCAGAGACAAACCAGCAACAGCCAGCATGAAGATAATAAATATTGTCTTTTCTGTGGGTCGGGAGATGTAACAGTTAACTGTATTAGGACAGGGCCAGCGGCTGCAGGTGTAAAGGGGCTGCAGCTGGAATCCATACAGGAAGTATTGTGCTACAATGAATCCTACCTCAAACAGTGTCTTGAAGAGAACATTGAACACATACGTTCGGAGTAGAGCTCCACGCAGGCGTACTTTACCCATGTCATCTTTGATTGGTTGCTTGGTTGGCGTGAGGAGCAGCTGTTTGTCACCCTGCACTTCTCCTTTACTTTGCCTCAATTTCAGTCTTTGTTTATGCTTTTCTTCTAGGCGCACAAGGTGTAGAATATGTCCCAGATAGATCAGGGTTGGCGTAGACACAAAGATGATCTGTAGCACCCAAAACCGGATGTGTGAAATAGGAAAGGTATGGTCGTAACAAACGTTCTGACAACCAGGCTGTTTGGTGTCGCAAGTGAAGCCAGATAGCTCATCTCCCCAAACTTTCTCTGCGGCCGTTCCTAAAACGAGAATCCGAAAAATGAAAAGGACCGTTAGCCAGACCTTTCCCACTACCGTAGAATGTTCTTGTGCACTTTCAAGAAGTTTACCCAGTAAGTTCCAGTCTCCCATTGGAGCGAAGGTCACATTTCAACCTAGAAAATGAAAAAAAACATGTTGGTAAAGGTTTTCTTAATAAACCGAATTCCCTTCTTTCTTACGAGAAAGAGACAAATTTGCAGCAAACGAAACACAATTTTATTACTTACCAGCAGCATCGATGATCTGGCTTACATTTGGGGATTTTGAGGAGGGCCGATACGCTACAGTAGATGAATGCACTAACTTTTCTTATTGACCTGCTTCTTCTAGTCTCCGTCCACCTTATGAGTATTGGATTCAGGCCTGTCATAACTACTCAGAGAAGCTCCCCCTACCTCATCCCTTTTACTCGGTATTTTTAGAATGGACTTTTTTTTTTCTAAAAATAATTCCACTAGGGGGGCTGTTGAATTCCTCTTCCCCACCTCCTCCTGCTTGTCACAATTGTAAGCTTCGTTCTTTTATCACTGTCACAAATTGAGACTATGGTGTCTGCAAGGTAATTTATTTCACCACTTTTGACATATCCTACTTGCAATCCCCTCAAATTTGGCATTTATATTTTTCTAAAAAATATTTCACTACCTCGACATTTTCTCTACATATTGAATTTATTGATAATTGTGAATCTTTGTCAGACACTGTCCCGCACTCTCCTTGAAACAATCGATGTTTTAACTTTCCTTACGAACAAATAAGTAGCCCACTTTGGGATTTCATAATTAGAAAACTGTGTGTTATTTGATTCTCTGTGTAGAGACGTCAGTGTACTCTACACATACAAACAGACAGGAGCCTTCTGTGGGCACAGCCAGCTGACAGACTGCAGACAATCCTTCGACTTACTGAACAAATGTAGCTTGTTGTCACTAAACTCAGCCAAAGTGAATTTCAAATTTTAGCCCAAAATAGATAAACTGATCACATGGATGACCTGGATATTTATTTATTTTTTTAGTTAAATCTCTTCATTTATATTTTCTGTATTTCCATAAGAGGATACTTAGCACAATAATTGTGCCCTTTTTAAAAAATAAATTTTTTTTATAAAGCACTTATCTGCAATTTATGTTTACTTACCATATGGTATGTAAAGCTGTGAGGGCCAGTGCTGTAACTCAGGTACTTGCTGGCAGATAAGCTAGTAAGGTACCAGTGAGTCAGATTCACTTTATCATCATTACAAGACTATGAAAAAAGTAACGTTCCAATGTGCTGTCAGTGAAGCCATTTATCAGCTGATCAGCAGCTGTGTGTCATTAACAGTGGGATCTACACCCATTCCAACATTCTGACAAGTTTAGCAAGGACACATACCAAAGTGACCAGCTCCACAAATGGTGCATGACAGCATTGGGATATTAAAACCGGTCCTGTCATTTATACATGCTCCTTACCTGTTTTCTAAGCTACATGTGTTACATAGCAGATCTTATTCTGTTTATGTATAAGAGGACTTAAAATGTGTCCTATGCTAGCCTACTAACAAGCCCTTAAGGCGGCTCCTTCACTGTCTGAAGTATTTGCATTAATTGCAAAGATCCCCGACGGTGACTGCTCTGCTGGCAGTGCAGTGGCAGAGAGGTGCAGGTAAAGGAGAGTTATTCTTACCTGAAGTAGTCTCTTGTGGCTGCCGCCATCGTCTTCCTGGCGGTCCTATTCAGCTCCACAGCAGTATTCTTGCTCATGTTAGAGGTCTATGGAGGCCAGTGCTGCATTTTCTCTAGCCAGTGCTAGTGATGAGTGGATGTTTTGAACACTTTATATTAAAGGGACACTATAGTCATGAGGACAATTACAGCTTAATGTAGTTGTTTTGGTGAGTATAGTCATCAATCCCTGCAGGCATTTTCATGTAAACACTCTCTTTTCAGAGAAAAGGCAGTGTTTATATTACTGTCTAGGGATACCTCCAGTGGCAGTCACTCAGATGGCCACTAGATGTACTTCCTGGGTTAGTGCTGCACAGTGTGCAGCACTGACGTCCATTGTCTCCACCCAGTTCCACCTTGAGTCAATACATTTCTATGAGGAGATGCTGATTGGCCAGCACAGTGTTTGGCCCTGCCCTCTTGACTGAGATCATTGAATTGACAATCTCAGCCAATCCAATGCTTTCCCATAGGAAAGCTCTAGATTGGCTGCGATTGTTCTGATAATCTCAGCCACGCATCAGCAGACCCATCCTGCACTGGAATAAAGGTGTGTTAAATACATTTTTAAAGGGTGGTGGGGGGAGGGGGCAGCTACCTAAATAGCTGCACTAAAGGATCAGGAATTGTGTTCCTGATTCTACAGTGTTCCTTTAATATATAGATATATGTTGTGGGATTTATTTTTCCAATAATACTGGAAAATGTGCCAACTATGGACAAAGTGGAGCATATACAATGGAGACAGAAAGTTGCAAACTTTAGGCCTCAACCCTATTTTGTCAGCTTGGCTATTTTGGCCTCAAATTTTTAAACATTTTCTTTTTGTCAATATTTTTACATTCCTAATTTATTGAATAACACCTAATGCAGAGTTCTCCCTAATTCCTCTGTGAGCACTCTGTACTGTGTGATTGCAGTTCCCTCTCATGCTGCAGCTTCAGGAACTGTGATCGGTGCTGGCAAAGGACAAGCAGGGGGACCTCACCCTAGGGTCTTTTCAAACCCTGGGGGCCTCCCTGATACTGGGGGCAATTTAAAATCACCTCAACCGAGCGCAGTTGCTCAGCTGCTGTATTTAAATGGCAATATGAAGTGCTCACTTAGAGCGCTGCACACCGAGTACACCCTGCGGGACTCCTTTAATTCAGCTATGTGTTCTGCGATTACAGAAACAGGGTCACTGGTAGACTTATATGAAATATGAGTTTCAGCCGAACAACTTTGTCCAAATGTGTGTGTATATATATATATATATATATATATATATTTTTTTTTTTTTTTTATGGGATGGCAGAATTTTGGGCATGTGATGGTCCAGTTTATCAGAATTTCGTCCACCGAAAAAGAAAAAAAGAAACCAATCCTTGTACTGCAAAATATATTGTGTATTTTATATTCACAAATTTTGCACAGAGAGGTGGATTTTACATGAGCATATACGCAGTGCCTTCCATGCCTAACGCGCCAGGTGTAGGATTTCACTGAACTAAAAGTAGGTGTTAATGTGTGGAAACCCACTAATGCTCTCCGAGAGAATGTCAATGACTGGGACCTCTGGAGCTCCAGCAGACCATGTGTTTATAATGAATGCTCCGGCTCTGCCTCTTGTTGCCTCATAGGAGACTTCTGGATAGTAGTATGTGAATAGATCGCTGGGCACATAAAGCTCCGTCGGGACACCAGTCTTTCCCAAAAAGTGTTGTATGGGTTATCAAAACCTTCTAAAAAGCCCATCACTGGCTTCCTGCATGTACATTGCCTCATGGTCACCACTGGGCTGCGTTTGGTCGCCATTTTGAGAACTTAGTCAGGGAGAGTATGTGCTGCAGATCTCAGGGGACCCACAAATTTGAGTGCCCCCACCGGCGAGAAACTGTACGGGGATCTGAGCAGAGGTTTCAGAGTCCGAGTCAATTACGGGTGGGGAGATCAGCAGCCTCTCCTGCACTCAAGGTCAAATCCACCAAAATTGCTCAGGGATGCCTCCAGGATGTCAAATAAATACACTATATACACAAACAATATGTAATAGTGAAAGTGTGTAGCGCTCAATGATAGTCACTTACTCCCCAGCAATTCTTAAGGGTATGTAAGATGTTTGGGTAGTCTTTTGCCTCCAGGATGATTGCACCTCAGGTCCACAAGATTGGCAGGTGGCCTTAAGCGTTACAGGGCCACTAAAAATCTGAAATACGCATAAAATGTCACACTGCACACAGAGCTCAAATGAAATACGACCACTCAGCATGGCAGTCAGGCCCCCATCCTCCCCGAATAAGATTTATTATCATATCACCATGGCACACCATGAGGTACATATCCATACACCCTATGGAGATTGAATTACTAAAATGCAAAGTTACATATCGATGTAAGGAAACATACCATCCTTAAAGCTGAGTCATCGGCTTAAAAATGATACAATAACCGTTTTCACTCTCCAACTTCTAACCTCTTAGTAAATTTACCCATTCCAGGTTACCGAATGACCTTCCTTTTCTATATTTGCTGATGCACTCTTCCCGCAGAAGGAAACTTAAAACTGCTGTATGTTTTTGCACAATTGAGAAGAATGGAATGGCCAGTTGGCACTGCATGTGTGTGTGTGTGGTCTGTTGATAGTTTTAGTGTGTCTGGGATTTTTTGTGTGTCTGATTTTGCAGTTTACAGTTCCTTACACAAGAAGAACAGGCTCTATCGTCATAACATGCGCATGCATTTATGCTACAGAAATGTAAAATCTCATTATGGCATGTTTATATCCTGCTGATAAGTACTGTATCAGTGCGCATTCGGTAAATACTACATGAGATAGTGACAAACAAGGAAATTGGGTAGAGCTACACAAAAAGCAAATCTTCATTATAACCAAATGGGAGGACGGTTCAAACAATATATTATTTTTATAAAAACGCAGCCTATGATAGCAGCTAAATGTCAATGTAAAAAGGATTAAGATACACAATGAGCAGACGGATTGGGCAAGGTAACAAATGGTTTTAAGAAATTAAATGGACCGCTGACAAGTGTTTACAACCCAAGAGCTCTTAAAAAAACATCTTTATCTACAGTAATAACATTTTCCATGTGTTAAAGGTAAGACCTTTATATTGCGCAGGGATATAAAAATTGGACATTGCACATATTTATAACATGATCGCTATCATCTGGTGGCAAGCTTATAGAAATTAGCCAGATTTCCAAAATGTTCACACAGAGCATCTACAGATTGTTTATTTAATTTAAAGGACGACTCACATCAATTTTTCACTTCTCATTTTTAAATGTTTATTATACTTAATGTAAGTTAATGATATATTTTTTAAAATTACGTATATTGATTTTTCTGAGAAAATGTCACTTTTTTGTATTCTGGTAAAGCAGCCATATTGGGTCAGACTCTATTTCTATCTGACCAATTGCTGCTCGCGGTAAAATTGCAGCAGCAGGAAAGAGGAGCAACAGTTGCTCAGGTAACGGAAGAGTCTAAACCAAAATGGCTGCTCGGCCAGATATAAAAGTGACATTTTCTAAAAAAATAAAAATAAATTACAAATCAATATATATCATTAAAAAAACAAAACATAATTAACTTTTATTAAAGGTTTTAAACTTAAAACAAAAAGAAAAAGTGAAAAACTGATGATGTCCTTTAAATTTAAAAAAAATTCACTACCTGAAAAAATATATAATTTTATTTGTAATAAAGTTGGAGCCTCCTTCTCCAGTTTCCATTTGGACATCCAATCAGGAGTGTATTTAATCGTAGCT